TTATCAATAACTAATAGGACATAAAACAAAATGAAAAATAAAAAATATTGAAACATAAGCCCTTGGATCATATGTATTTGCTGAATCTTTCTGGAATAATTATATTGTCAATAAATTCAAAGCAATTCCTTTTGTTTTAGTTTTTTTTAGTTTCTTCACTCATCTGAAAATTATAGCTAAAACAGCTAAGCTGTTAGTATTGCTAAGTTGTAGAATTTTTCCAAATTATGTTTAGCCTAAATTTTGCAATTTGGATATTGATTTGCTACAATTTTCTTTCAAATAAACACCTTTATGCCTTTCCCACCTGTTTAGGAACTTGTCATCTGAAACTTTAACTGACTCACATTATTTTTGGCTTCTATAAAGTTTGCTGGCACAAGTCAATTAATGTTCTGTTGTGCAAATATTAGAATTATGTTTGATGATCCAGTCATTCACTTTTTTAGGTCAACTTGTTTTTGTAACAGTTGTGTGTACACAAATCAGTTGAATATTTTATCCAAAAATAATAAATCATTTGAAAATCTTATTCCAAAAGTTTAATTGAGCCTGAAATTATAGAACAATGCCCTCTGATGGCCTTCTCTAGAATAACTCACACATATCATCTAATGAGTGTTTGCACTGCTACATCCCTTGTGTACCAGTAAGAGCTCAGCGTGGTCCTTGACAATTTTACCTGCTTGCAGGATTTGACATTTTACTTTACTATAAGTATCAATTAAACCCTGTAACTCTAAAGAATTGTAATATATTATGTACATTGCTGTTTTTCTTATCTTTATATAGGGATTCTACAATAACTCGAGATTTGCATGGCAGAAAAAGATTCCCCTTTTAGGAGTAATAAATAATCGGCATGTATTGTCAACAGTCAATGAGATAGAAACATAGAAACATAGAATGTGACGGCAGATAAGAACCATTCGGCCCATCTAGTCTGCCCAATTTTCTAAATACATTCATTAGTCCCTAGCCTTATCTTATAGTTAGGATAGCCTTATGCCTATCCCACACATGCTTAAACTCCTTTACTGTGTTAACCTCTACCACTTCAGCTGGAAGGCTATTCCATGCATCCACTACCCTCTCAGTAAAGTAATACTAAAGAAACATAGATGTCTCTCAAAGAGAAATACTGAATCCAATATGACACCAAGTATAAAGCTTTTCAAGTATTTTATAGAAGAAAGTGCCTTTTTGTGCTGCCTGATTGACTCACACTCTTGGGGCATTTTGACAGACTTCAGGGATAGGGTCTTTGTAACAAAACCAATACATGTAGTGCCTTTGCATCCTTCAGTATCCCTTTAACACATAGCTGTATACACAACCTACTGAAGTATTTCATCAATACAGTGGAGCTCATCATTCAAAGTTGTGGTAAATTCCAAGATATTAAAATAATTGAAAAATATTTCCAAATGTTCCAGTGCACCCTGTTCTATATAACCATAATATCACTTGTATAACCGTATCACTATTTCATAGATTTATGGAACACAGCATTATTGTATGTATTTGTCTTTTCACATTCATGCATGAAGACATATGTGATGGTCACATTTTACCACATTTGGTCACTAGACACGTTCACGGGTTGGGGGGGAAATAGTGAGTTTTGGCGAATGTTGGTAATTATCAATTTAGAATGAAGTGACATTGGTCCTAAAACTTTTGAAAATGTTTGATTAAAGCTTAATATAGTTGTTCTGGTGTCCACAGTTAATCCTCACAGGCTTTTTATTGTAAACAGTGCCTTTTCAGAGAAAAGGCAGTGTTTCCATTACTGCCAAGGAACACCTTTAGTGGGAGGCACTGATATTCAAAGTCTCCATGCTCTGCATGAAGACTTAATCACTTCCTATTGAGTGTCAGTAATTCAATGCCTCTCTATGAGCAGAGGTTGATTAGTGCAGTGTGGCATTTAGTATCATAAGACAGCGTGAGGGAGCAGAAAGGAGCTGCATTAAGATTACTGCAACCTTACGAGCCACCTACAGTGCTCCCACGGGCAGCAGGCTCCATGCTGCCTCAGCCAGCCACCTCCATCCTCCTCAGGACGGTCGGCTCCATGCTGTCACCTTCCCCCACACTGTCACTGTTAACAACTCAACCAGCCCCCTTCTGACCTTGAGAGCTGGTCACTTCCTTCCAGCTTACACAGACCTAGTCGCACCGAAAACAGATGAGGTGGCGGACCGGGAGAGGAGCAAGCCCGCAACTCCCAACAGCCCCAGCCAGCAGAAGCTGCACCCGAAAGTTAGAAAACTGAGGGTTGGCTAAAATTTTGAATTGTATGTGTGTTTTTGGGTGTATGTATGTATTGTTTATATCTGTGTCTATCGGTATGTCTGTGTATCTGTATGTGTTTCATTGTTTGTATCTGTGTTTCTATGTGTCATTTTATCTGTATGCATGTCAGTGTTTGTGTCTGTGTGTCTGCATATCTGCATGTGTGGCAGTGTTTGTATCTGCATGTGTGGCAGTGTTTTTACTTGTGTATCAGTACATCTGTATGTGTGGCAGTGTGCATCTGCATGTGTGGCAGTGTTTGTACTTGTGTGTCTATACATCTGTATGTGTGGTAGTGTATCTGTATATGTCAGTGTGTATATCTGTATGTATGTCTGTGTATCTGCATGTGTGGCAGTGTTTGTATCTCTGTATCTGTGTATCTGTATTTTCTTATGTGTGTCAGTTTGTATTTGTCAGTATCTGTCTGTATGTGTGACAGTGTTTCTCTATCCGTATCTACATGTGTGGAAATGTGTCTGTGCAACTGTATGTGTGTCCGTATTTGTATCTGTGTAGCTGCATGTGTGTCAGTGTGTGTATCAGTGAGCCTGTGCACCTGTATGTGTGTCAGTGTTTGTATCTGTGTGGCCGTGTATCTACATGTGTGGCAGTGTATCTACATGTGTGGCAGTGAGTGTGTCACTATGTATCTATGTATGTGTCACTATGTATGTGTGTGTTATTGTTTGTGTATGTGTGTTTGCATGTGTGGCAATGTTTGTATATGTGTGCAAGCACATCTGCATGTGTGGCAGTGTGTGTGTCTGTGTATCTGAATGTGTGTCAGTGTGTATCTGAAATCTGCACTTTATAATATGTGTATGTATATATTATACAGTGCAGATTGCAGATACACACACTGACACATTCAGTCACATACTGACACTCATGCAGACGCACAGACATGTGCAGATTGCAGATACACACAGATATAGAGACACCTATGTGGATGTACAGACACACAGATAGAAACATTGACTTATACAAATGCAGACATACACAAAAACACAGAGATACAAACACTGGCAGATGTACAAACATTGCCACGCATGTGGATACACAGATACAAACACTGACACACATAGATATACATACACTCAGATACAAACACTTCCACCACGCAAATGCACAGATACAAACAATAACACACAGATACAGACATACAGACACACTCTGACACACATGTAGATACACAGACACATATACAAACACTGACACACATGCAGATGCACAGTTACATACATAAAACTGGAGCAGAGGAAAAGCAGGGGTGTCTATGGTAGAGAAAAAGGGGAGACGGGCAGAGAAAACTGTATACATTTGAAATAACAGCAATTCTAGTAATTGCAAACATTTCGCTACTATAAGGAGTACAATTTATGGAAATTGGCTGTCATGGAGTACTCAAGTGAAAAAAGGTTGAAAAACCACTGATATACATGATAAAGGTCAACATGGCTGAAATGTCATGTGTGATTTTTTTAAAACTTATTTTTTAATATCCCTGGATGTGATGGTCATCTTTTTCTTCACAGGTTTTGAGAGTCAGATACGACCATGTACCGACTGTGACACTGCTTTTCTGTTTTGACCATTCATTAAAGGAAGACAAACCTGTATTCCTGGCACTATAGAGTTTAAACCACCATCTGCTCTCCCCCCCTCCCCCTTGCCTCCCTAATATAGTAAAATTGTACTTGTATTCAAGTCTGCAGCTTCTGCCTCTGCCCCTGATCTACCTGCTTGGCTGACATCAGAAATGATTATCTGAGCCAATCACAATGATTTCCCATAGGAGACTGTCAAGAAGCCAGATCATGGGCAGAGCCAGCACAAGTCACACAGCCCTGACCAATCAGCATCTCCTCATAGAGATACATTGAATCAATGCATCTCTATGAGGAAAGTTCAGTGTCTCCATGCAGAGGGTGTCTCTCTCTCTCTCTGTCTTACATAGTTACATAGATGAAAAGAGACTTGCATCCATCAAGTTCAGCCTATCTCTCATTTGTTTTTTGCTGTTGATCCAAAGGAAGGCAAAAAAAAAAACAGTTTGAAGCACTTCCAATTTTGCAACAAACTAGGAAAGCAAATCCATCTTGACCCCAGAATGGCAGTCAGATTAATCCTTGGATCAAGAAGCTATTACCCTACATTGAAAAACTATACCCTTGAATATTCTGCTTTTGCAAGTATGCATGTAGCTGCTTGAACATCTGTATGGACTCTGATAAAAACACTTCTTCAGACAGAGAATTCCACATCCTTATTGTTCTTACAGTAAAAAAATAATTTTCTTTGCCTTAGACGAAATCTTCTTTCTTCCAGTCTAAGCGCATGACTTCGTGTCCTATTTAAAGTCTGGTTTGTGAATAGATTTCCACACAGTGGCTTGTATTGGCCCCGGATATATTTGTATAATGTTATCATATCCCCTCTGAGACGATGTTTTTCTAAACCAAAGAGGTTTAAATTTGTTAACCTTTATTTTTAGCTGATGTGTTCCATTCCTTTTATTAATCTTGTAGCCCGCCTCTGCACCCTCTCCAGTGCCATAATATCTGTCTTTAGAACTGGTGCCCAAAATTGCACAGCATATTCAAGATATGAATGCAGAAAGATAAGTCCTGCGCTCACTCCCATCACTGGGCGGCAGCAATGACTACAGTGCACATCAGCCCCAATATATAGTAAAGACCAAAGAAAACAAGTTACCTGCGCTCTCTCCTTAATCCCTATGTATTTTTAAACAAATGGAGGTTTTTTAGTTACCTCCAATGGCCATGAGAGGATAAGCCCACCTACCAAAGTCAAGGAAGACCCCCCCCCTAACTCTAACCATTCACCTTGCTTCCTTGAGCTTCTGGCAAAGATCTCTAATGAGACAGAAAGGGGTATTTTTTATATACACCCCAATATATTATTAACCCTTAATAAGGAACACATGGGATGGGCTGCTATGTATCTCTCTCTTTCTCTCTCTCTGTATTTCTCTTTCTTTGTCTGTCTATCACTCTCTCTCTCTGTGTCTTTATCTCTTTCTCTTTCTTTCTATGTCTTTTTCTCTGTCTCTCACTCTCTCTGTCTCTGTCTCTCTCTTTCTCTCTCTCTGTATTTCTCTTTCTTTGTCTGTCTATCACTCTCTCTCTCTGTGTCTTTATCTCTTTCTCTTTCTTTCTATGTCTTTTTCTCTGTCTCTCACTCTCTCTGTCTCTGTCTCTCTCTTTCTCTCTCTCTGTCTTTCTCTCTCAGTCTTTCTCTCTCTCTCTGTCTTTCTCTCTCTGTTTTTTAACTCACTCTCTGTCTGTCTGTCTCTCTATCTTTCTCGCTCTCAGTCTCTCTCTCAGTCTTTCTCTCTCTCTGTCTTTCACTCTCTCTCTCTGTCTCTCTCTCTCTCTTTCTCTCTTTGTGTCTTCCTGTCTCTGTTTTTCTGTCTCTGTCTTTCTGTCTGTCTCTCTCTGTCTCTGCCTCTCTTTCTTTGTCTTTATCTCTGTCTCTCTTTCTCTGTCTCTCTCTCTTTGTCTTTATCTCTGTCTCTCTTTTTCTCTTTCTCTCTTTCTCTCTATCTCCCTGTCTCTCTCTCTGTATTTCTCTCTTTGTCTTTCTCTCTCCATACAGCGCGCCATGACAAAAGGGGCAGTGGGCGGCCAACACAGCTTGCAGTCAGTCACTCACAGGCCGCACCAAGTAATGCAAAATGTGTGCAGGCGCAAGTCAAATAACGTGAATTATTTAAGAGGGCCTCAGCTGGGCAGCACTATTTAATAATGTGTAGGGGGACTGGAGTGTGGGGGCGTGCAACCTCATGTTGTGATGCAACAACAACATGTTTTGCCTTCATGATGTTTCCCACAGTCGTGGAAGGATCCGCTCTAACTGAGGGCTCTGACACGGGCCTCTGCACTAAAAGTGCGGTTGGTGCCGGAGTTGGCATCTGACTGTCAGCTGGGTCCGGGGAGCAGCAGGTGCTTGGGTGCTTGATCCTTGTTTAAATGTGAGTAGTCTGCTTATTGTACTTTTAAATAGATTGGGTTTTGTAAAGGGGAGGGCAGGGGTTTTGAAAAATGGGGAGGGGCAGGGGGTTTGTAGAACAGGGAGCAGGGGCTTGTGAAAGGTCAAAGTTTTTTTTTTTAAATGGGGTGAGCAGAGTTTTTTTTGTAGAAGGGGGGCAGGGATTTAAAGAATGGGACAGGGTTTTTTTTTACAATCTTGTATTTTGTATATGTTTTCTTTTTTTCAACAAATATAACAAAGTACAATTGTATATGGTAAATTAAGAAATCTTTTCAGAATCCACACCCTTCAATTAGACAGTAACAGTAAGTCAAACTTTAGTGAGCATTATAGGTGTAACATGGATTGCAATATTATGGGAAGCATTTCACCAAGCCCCCTCGTCTTCCTCACGTCCCATACCTGGATCCAGCGTACAAACTCCCCATCATCCCCCCTCCTCCTCTCTTGACAATCTTTATTTGTAAGTGGCTGTTATTCCATCTAATCCTATAACACTAGTGGGTGGTGAGGTAGCTTTTAAGGCGAAAATGCATTGTGCGTGAACATGAAACCCGGAGGACTTTATAGCCCATCATGTTTAGTGGGGAAGTATAGCTGTGTCATGCACCTGTGTAGTTGTATCCTGAGTGTGTTGCGTGGGAGAAAGCTTAAAGTGAGGTCTAGTCGGGGGTGGGGGGGGTCGACTTAGGGTGAAGAAAGTGGGGGTGAGAGAATGAAGAGAAAGACAGAAGGGTGAGGGGGAGAGAAAAAAAGAGGGGGTAGGGACAGAATAGACGGCAGCATTGATGGTATGCATTGTTCATTCTGTGTCCCTGACCACTGTAGGGGGTGGTGCCAATCTGTAGTATTTATGGTGGTCTGTATGGGGGAACTGAGCCTATGTAAGGCCATCAGGATGATGAGTATGAGCTGGCGATGTAAACCAGCCATGCAGCCCATGTGAGGATGTGTTTATTGGACCTGCCATTAAGGGCAGCAGTCAAAGGCTCCATCTCATGGATCTCCTCCACCTTAGAAGGTGGAAGGTGGGTTAATGTGTATGATGTAGGCAACTATGACCTGTGATCGGGTAACATTACTAGGATTCAGGTATGAAGTTGACCCTCCGAGTCCCGATCGTATGTACATTCTGGGTGTTTTGTGAGGGGGAATCAGGAAGCCCGAACAGACATGAATATAGTCTCAATCTCCTTGAGCTCCGCTCTCCCCAGCACACAAACCAGGGACAAATGGATTTTGTCAGAGTGAGAATAACTGGACATCTAGTCCGGTGTATTTTGAGAGGGAATCCAAAATTGGATATTGTTGCGATCAATTGTTAAAAAGAATGATAACACTTCTACATTAAGTGAAATTATAAACATAAATGTAGAACACTCCTGAGGGGCGTGGCTGAGCCGAGCATGCGACAGGACGTGTAGAGCCCGAGCTCCTCATCCCCTGGCCACAAAACAGCAATAATTAAGGGCTCTAAACGGCCCAACATGGTCCGAAATAAGAGGACACAAGCTCTGGGGGGCTCCCCACGCCGCCACACAGGCACTATGGACGACTACGTTAGCACCCAGAGCACACCGGGCAGCTTCGGGCCGCCAGACAAAATGGCGCCCGGATCCCCGAGCCAGGACAGCATGGGCGACTCCATCCCAGATGACACGCTGGCCCAGATCAAACAGGAGCTGGCCATGATCTCCACCCACATGCTTACCAAGGCGGACTCCGGCGGTCTCCTGCAAGAACTCAAGACGGCGATCCGGGAGGAGATCACTGCACTGCGGACGGACTTGTCGGCGGTTGAAGTGAGGGTGGAGGCCCTGGAGACCGAGGCGCAGGCTTGCCGCACACAGCACCGGGCCGCAGAACTGGCCACCACACGACAGGGGAACATGCTGCTCTCCCTGCGACGCCAGGTGGAAGACCTGGAGAACAGGAGCCGGCGGCAGAACATTCGGATCCGAGGCCTACCGGAGCCGGACACCACCCCACTGCCAGACACCCTGAGGGCCCTCTTCCGACAGATCCTGGGCCAGGAGGGCCCCAAAGAAATCCAGTTTGACCGCGTCCACAGGGCGCTAGGGCCCTAACGCCAGGATGGAAGGCCCCGTGACGTACTTTGCTGCCTACACACTTACAGCACCAAGGAGAAGCTGATGGCGGCGACCCGGGCATGACGAGCCTGCAGTTCAGGGGCTCGGAGGTGTCCCTCTACCAGGACCTCTCCGGCCTCACGTTAGATGCCAGACGCGCCCTCCGGCCCCTCACGACCACCCTGCGAGACAAGGGGATCCCTTACCGTTGGGGATTCCCCTTCAGCCTGCAAATTCGGCACGGCTCCACGTGGCTCCAGGTGCGCTGGCCCGACGACATCCCGCGGGCACTGCGGACCCTCAAACTCCCGAACATCCGGGTCCGCAATTGGCTTTTGGATACCCCTCTGGCACCCCGACGGGACCCGGACGCGGAGGACCGCCCGCCGCCGACACGGAGAGAAGAAGCCCGGTCACCCCGGATGTGGGGTGGCCCGAGCGGAGCTGAGGAGTAATGGTGCGCAGGAGCCCGTGTGGCCCGGAATCAGCCGGACCACGAGGTACTTGGTGGGTCCTGGGTTGGGGGGTGAGGCTGCCCGTAGTGGGATTAGGTAGCCTAGGTGGGGAGGGAGGACGAAGCTGTCTCTGAGACATTTGCGGACACTGATCTCCGGCCGCCACCGACTCTTCTCCCATCCCGGCCGGGGCAACCATACTGCCATCTGTTGCCACACTCACCGTGCATGGGAGAGGCCCCCCCCTTCCCCCCCCCCCAAAAGTGGCACATGCCCCTGGTGCTCTCCCTTTTCCCCTCAGCCCTCCCCGGGTTAGAATAGGGACCGGAAGTGTTAGCTCCTGCCCGGGGTATGAGGTGGGCCTTGGGGGCTGCTGGGGGGGGGGAGGGGAATGGGGTCGCATGGGGAGACTCTGCACGCTCTTTATTTGGACAGCTCCTGGGGGGACTCTGGGAAAGGGGTGGGGGGTCTGGTGGAGTGGGGGCTGGGGGGGTACACGGCAGGGGGGGGGGTCCCGGCCCGGGGGGGTGGGCCCCGGCACGGAGAGGGCTTGGGGGGACGGGCTCGAGATGACCACACACGCTTGACATTGCCCCTAGGTTTAACTGCGTAGGGGGAGGCCCAGACGAAATGGGAACTAGACCTATGTACCTCTCACCCGGACCGCACCTTAGCACAGAATGGCTGTAGACAATCGACGAGGGCCAGGGGAGAGGACACGGGGGACCTATATTGAGACAGGACCAGTAGCTCTTATTTAGGGACACACCCATCCTCCACTCCTGCCCGCTCTGGGCCACACACGCACCCATAGACAGACTGTAACACACACTAGGACGGGGGACCAGGTGGGTGGTTAATTTAAGGGACGGAACACCCAGACCGGATTCACCCAACTAGACAGTCAAGTCTGCTTTTGTACATAGTTTCATTGTTGTGTTTGTTTAACTAGTTTCGCTCACAACCCTTTGACCACAGGGGCTACTGCCCCGCCGCGCGCCCGCGACCAGAGGACACCGCCCCATACGTTGGCCTCCTGCGTTAGGCGAACACATCCGGGTTTCCCCCGGCGCCCCTCCCCCTCCCCCCACCGGGTCCTCGCCCTTGCCCGCGCTTCCCCCCTCGGCCCCCGGGACGCCGCTCTGGCCTCCATGTCCGCCCAGGGAGCTGGGGGGTTCGCCCAGGCGCCCCTTCGTCTTTGGTCCAACAATGTCAGGGGTCTAAATACGCCGGAACGGAGGTCACATCTGCTGAGACCCCTGTGGGCGGCTCGGGCATCGGTCGCATTTCTCCAGGAGACCCATTTTCAGGGGAAAGAGGCTCCGGCCCTCCGGGATCGGAGGTTCCCCACGGGGTTCTTCGCCAACCACAGAGACGCCAAGAAAGCAGGAGTGGCTATCCTCTTCGCCAGCACCGTGCCCTTCAACTGCCTGGAGGAACTGGCCGACCCGAACGGACGCTACCTATTTATTAAAGGCACGATAGCAGACCGGCGATACACCTTCGCCTCTGTGTATGCACCTAATACCAAACAACATCGCTTCCTCAAGAAAATAGCACGGCTGCTTGAGGGTTTCAGGGAGGGGCTCCTGATCCTCGCGGGTGACCTTAACGTCCCCATGGACCCCCGCATGGACACCTCGAGGGGGGGCAGCTCACTGTCGGCAACCTGCCTTCGGGTCTCCCAGACGGCACTTCGAACAGCAGGGCTCGCGGACGGCTGGAGGGTCCTTCACCCAGACACGAGAGATTATTCCTACTATTCCCCAGTACACCGGGGACACAGCAGACTAGACTACATTTTTGTCTCTCAAGAGTACCTCCACCTGTTGCACTCATGTGAGATCCTTCCGGCCACATGGTCTGATCACTCCCCGGTTCTGGCCGTCATGGCGTCCCCCCTGCACAAGCCCACACGCCGGCAATTGAAGCTAAATGACCAACTGCTAGCAGATGCAGTCACCCTGGCGGATGCCAAGACGGTTCTCCGCCAATATTTCAATGAAAACGATGCCACAGAGACGTCACACCTGACCCGCTGGGAAGCACACAAGTGCGTAATCCGGGGACATTTCATCAAGGTTGGCACAGCGCGAAAGAAAGAGTCGCGCAGGCTCCTAACGGACCTCCATGCGCGGGTCGCCCAGTTAGACCAAGACCACAAAGCTACAGACTCGGAGGAAGTATACAGGGCTCTATTAGACGCACGACGGGCACTACAACACCAACTGTCTAAACAACTCTCACACTCACTGCGGAAATCCAATCGCCACTTCTACGAGTTCTCCAATAAGTGTGGCCGACTGCTCGCCAGAATGTTGCAGCAGAAACGCCGCCAGAGCCATATAACTAAAATCAGGTCGCATAACGGCCTCATTACACAAGTACCTGACAAGATAGTCGGGGAATTCCGAGATTACTATGCCAAGCTCTACAACATTGCACCGGACAGGACAACCGAGGAGACGCACAGGAGACAAACGAAGACTCAAGCCTACTTAGACCAACATGTCACCCGGATTCTCACACGCGAACAAAGGGAGGAACTCGAATCCCCCATTACGCTTGAGGAGCTACAGGGGGCCCTAAAAAACACCCCCCTCGATAAGGCCCCGGGACCTGATGGGCTCCCCCCACGCTACCTTAAGGCATTCGGAGAGATCCTACTACCGGAACTATTGTCGGGCCTGAATTCGCTACTGGAAGAAGGACGGTTTCAGGGGGACACCCTCCTGGCAACCATAACGGTTATTCCCAAGGAAGGCAAGGACCCAGCCGAGTGCTCCAGCTATAGACCGATCTCGCTACTCAACTCTGATCTAAAACTTTTTACGAAGGTCCTAGCGAACCGCATAGGCCGCCTGATCTCTACGCTGGTCCACCCGGATCAAACTGGCTTCATCCCGGGGAGAGAAGCTAGGGACAACACGGTCAGGGCTCTCAACATCCTGCACACACAACAGCGCTCTGAGCGGGGTAGCCTTCTCCTCTCTACCGACGCTGAGAAGGCCTTTGACAGGGTGGACTGGCACTTCCTTCAAGCCACGCTCCGGAAGATGGGTTTCGGCCCTAACATCCTGCGCTGGATTGCAGCGCTCTACACGACCCCAACGGCCCAGCTTCGGATCAACGGAGTCCTCTCCCCGACGTTTGAGATAAAAAACGGGACCCGGCAGGGATGCCCCCTGTCCCCCCTTCTGTTTGCCCTCTCTCTGGAACCTTTTCTGGAGGCGGTCAGACGGGATGGGGGAATAACGGGGCTCACCCAAGGCGGCCGGGAACATAAGGTGGCGGCCTATGCGGATGACCTCCTATTCTTCATGGGAAGTCCACTGGTCACGATCCCTAATCTACTCTCGGCATTCGAAGCGTTCGGAGCCCTCTCCAACTTGAAACTCAACGCGACGAAGTCGGAAGCTCTTCCTATATCTCTGACGCGTCAGCTGGGGGAACTCTTGCAGGCTCGCTTCCCCTTCCGGTGGTGCCCGCGCCGACTAAAATACCTAGGGATCTGGTTGACGAGGGACCTAACCCAGCTCTACCAGGAAAACTTCCTCCCCATCCTCCGCACACTCCAAGCGGACCTGATGCGCTGGGGGAAGCTCTGTGTGTCTTGGTTTGGTCGGATAAACGCAGTGAAGATGAACCTGCTGCCACGCCTGCTGTACCTGTTCCAGACCGTCCCAATAGCTCTGCCGCAGGCCTTCTTCCGATCCCTGGACTCCGCGATTCTGAAATTCATATGGTCGACGGGCCCACCGAGGGTGAGGAGGGCGCAGCTCATCCTCCCGAAGCACCGTGGAGGCACAGGATTGCCACATATCAAGGGATACTACCAGGCCTCCCACCTCTCCCGCATCATCGATTGGCATGTGTCAGCCACGGACAAACAGTGGGTTCAGCTGGAGCGGACATGGGCGCGGGGACGGATCCCGCCGGTGGTCTGGACGCGGGTTCCGATGCGAGACCAGGAACTCAGTCGCCACCCCTTCATTGGGGCGACGCTGAGGATATGGTCGAACATCCGCTATAAATTGCAGCTCACGACCTTCCCCGCACCCTTAACACCGGTTGTATACAACCCCGACCTGGCTGATGGGCTGCGAACGCAAGACGTGACCGGCATTGGGGAGGGGGGGGCCCGGCTCCTCCGGGAGTGGTGTACCAGGACAGGGATGAAAACCTACACCGCTCTGACAGCACAATCCAGACCCACAGGCCTGCTTCATTTCCGTTACCAACAAGTTAAGCATTACTACGCCACCCTCCAAGGGAGACAGTTACTGCACAGAGACCCCACGCAATTTGAGACTTACTGTTCCAGTGAAGAACATCTGACCCGCGGGATATCGACGCTCTACGCAATGCTCCTGGCTGCTGACCAGGGAGCGCCAGCACATTTCCACGCCAGGTGGGAACAAGCAACAGGGGTCGCCCTGATGGACCAGCAATGGGAGAAGGTTCACATTCTCACGCACCAGGGGATCCTAAGTACCAAAATGAGAGAACTTAACTACAAAGTCCTGACCTGCTGGTACAGGA